TATTTGTAATCCAACAATAAAAATGCAAACAACAACACATTAGGAGCCTTGGTAACGAAAATTAGGCAACAAAACCAGCGCCACCAACAAAACAACAACATAATCACAAAAACCATTGAAACGACATTAAGAACAAATACTACCTTATCAAGAGAGGGAGTTTGTGGGATAGTTGTTAACAGATCATCGACAGCCTCCTCCTGCTCCACATCTTCATCTGATGCTTCCTTTTCCGGCTGATTTGGATCGACATAGATGCTCTGCATCATCTTGGGAGGAGCATATAAGGCGGTGTTAAGTGGAAAGTAGTTGAGTTCTGTAGGAGTGTACCTGTCAAGAAGTATACGTCCGAAGTTATGTTAATAATCAACAATCAACAACACTAAACTATCAAGCAGATAGCATTGACATAACCGAGATGAGCAAGACCAACCTCTTGTAATAATGTTGGTACTGTCCAGGCACGAGGGCCACGGGGTAACTGTCGCATAAATTAACAGATGAATAATTAACAACTGCCTTCCGACTTTGTGGCTTGTGTAACTCCTGCATGCAAATATAAAATGATTTCTTAAGGACTGAAAAAAAACAAAATAATATAAAAATTGGCAGCTGTTAGTGTTTCTGCTCATATAAGAGAGTAATTTCAATTGATGGGTACCAACCATGGTCTGAAGATCAATGTACATGCTCCTTGCCTGTCTCCTATCCTTGCACAGTGATGCATTGAATTCAGCAGCTGATTTGATGGCCTTCTTCATGAGGTTCTCCAATTTTGTTACCTGCGTATTTAAGAATTAGTGAGTTTGTATTAAGGTAGAGGCTCAAAAATGGTAAATGGAGGTATAAGAAAATATAAGGCTAAAATGTTAGCTAAGGATACAACTGACAAAGCAAAGTTAAAAAGCAATTAATGAATAGTACAAATGTGAGGAGACCAACCCCATCAGAAGCAGATCCAGGCTTTTCAACAAACTTCAATCTTTTCCTGCTGAATCTTGTATATTCCTGCATAGTGTTGTTTCCAAATAGTTATCATTTTATTAATTAATTTGCTTACAAAAATGGCTGCCTGTTGATAGCACAAAAAGATGACAAGATGGAAAAATGATATCCACCTGGTATTTTTCAGGGTAATCTTTTGACATGAGTTTCAAAACCTCCTCTGCATTCAGCACCGTCAGACCTACACAATCAATAACAATTAATAACATTAAAAA